TTGTGTTGACTATATGAACCACAATATAAGTTATATATACTGTTTTCTCATTCAATTACAACTACAGAGGAGAATAAGGAAGAGCGTGCATACCTTGAGAGACATGGCTGATGTTTGATGGCGAGGAAGTATCTCAGCCGTATATATAGTGGTCCACATCCTCTGCTGGGATGAGTTCAAGGTCATTTGCCTGCGCTTGTGAGGGAAAGCAGTTTAAATCATGTCCAGGTCTGTTTTTCGTTTGTACTCACTGAACATAAACTATCAAATGTAAAACTAAAAAACGTATTCAAAAATAAACTTCACATTCTTGATTCTCTTATATAGTCATCTGTTTAGATTACAGTCCGTTTCCATCTGTCTCTACATCTAGAGGTGTATGCTTTGATACACAAATACAAGAAACACAGATTGGACATAGGCTCATGCATATATATGCCCATAGAAATATACTAATATACATGAACATACAAAATATATATGTGCATATATGGCGTTGTAATGTAACTAAATATACTGAATTCACACAATTAGATATGTTAATGAAGCAGCTTAAAAGCATAGATTTACATGTATAGCTACAAAAATACAGACAAAATTTCTTCTAATATAATTCATATCTATTAATCTATCAAATGCGGGAATATTTCATGCTACCCCCACCCCCCCACTAAAATAAGGACTACCTAATAAAAAATATCTGGATTTTTCTGTGCCGATTTCACCTAAATCTCAATATAGCTCTAACCATAGACCTACATGATACGACGGCGATGCAGGTATATTTCATAACCTATTAATAAATATATCAATAAAAATATCAAAAGTAAACACATACGTCTTTTTTTTTTTTCTTCTATTTTTAAAGCTGGCGACGAAGTGTCTCAGCCGTTTATATAGTGAATAAATCGGGAATCCATGATGTGCACAAACAGTAGGGCGAAAAAAAACGATGGACTCTGTAGACGTTTCCACACAACGTTCCTACAACAACGTTCAGTTGCTCATGTCAATCTGTGGATGAAATGAACCGTACTTAATATATTGTGTAATGAATTGAGTGTGTTTTATTCATGCGATATGAATAACATTCAGTATCAACATGTGACTTATTATCATTATTATATTATTGCTTTTATAATAATGATAATGAAAAAAAAAATAGTATTATTATTATGATTAGAAAATGAAAGTATTAAGAAAGTTGTTATATATCGTCGGTGTAGGATAAGGAAATGCATTTACGGGAGCACACACACACACGTGTGTGTGTGTGTGTGTTCCCTGGGATATGAAAATATTGTTTTCCTTTATGTGTAATCTGTGATTGGGAAGGTAGATAAATTTTTGACTACTTATATATATATATATATATATATATATATATAAGACGAGGAAACCATTATGCGGCATGGTATCTGTAAACGTTTCCAGTCCCTCCTGTAAATCCAGTAATGAAATTTACAATGATAAATAGTGTAACGAACTGTGAATGGCTTATGCTGCATGAATTTCGTACGATCAGCCAAATCAGACATAATTATCATTATCATTATATTCGATTCTATTGCCGATTTCATTATTTTGCCAAAGAATGATGTCGGAATTTTAGAAGAAAATGAGACCTAAAATCATTAATATCATATATTGTCGGTATAGATTGCGGCAAGGTCAAATGCAATTCTTAATGTGTTTTGAAGTGCTTTCCAGACAAAACGTTCATGTTAATCCGGTGATGAAATTATTAATATATAGTGTATTGTATTTATACGATATGAATTGTATATGCTACGATCAACGAAATGATATATCATTACTACTACAACTATTGATAATGAAAATAATAACAAGGATACTGAGGATAAGGTGACGATGGTGAAACTGCCAAAGTAACGATAATAATAACATAATACGAATGATGATATTTGTTATGATTTTGTAGCTTTCAATACCCTCGAAAGATCCTTCCTCTTTCATATGCTAGAATAATGTATTGCAAAATAGATCACAAACATAGGATCAAGTACAATTATGAAGTGTTTTCGAGACAAAATATTTTAAATTTAAATTCAGTTTTATACGAAGCCAGTTTAGTTATTCCGATATGTTTTCTTTAATTGCTGCTTCAATGTTGGTCACAATAAACAGTGCATAGATTATTTTCAGTGTATTTTATTATAAAAATATTTAACCAGTATCACATATTCGGTCATCTATGCAGTTTTCATCTGAGTGTACTCCAAATGGACACAACAGAGGCAAAAGGCTAGCAAAGATGTATGGCTGAGTGTACACCCTTAGTACACGGGGTATTTGGGGGCAGCATGGTAGGGAGCGGGCTTATAGGTGGGGGTGTACTCGGGGTACTGAGCCTCGCCCTCGTAGGTGACCTCAGCTACAAGACCGTCGCCGTTGTCCACGTAGTTGACGATCTGCTTGCGGCCGTCGGGGAGGTCGACGGTGTAGCTGCCCTCGGTGTTGTAGCCGTCGCGGGACTCCGAGTGGCCGAAGTTGGCGCCGGAGTAACCGTCGACGACACCGTAGTTGTAGTTGTACTTGGGTGGGACCTGATTAAAGAGTATAACATTAAATCCAAATCATATTCAGATAGAAGTATTTTCACAAGGACCTTTGTTAGATGGCATTAAACCAGATATAAATATGCAATAAATTACTTACGGTGGGGTACTCTGGCTCCTTGTAGTGGGCACGGGCATGGTACACGGGTTCGGGAGCGTGGTACGTGGGTGCGGCGTAAACAGGTGGCAGGTGCACAGGGGCCTTATCGGCCAGAGCCACAGCGGCCACACACACAACGAGGATCACCTGAAACATGACACAAATATTCCACTTATTCAAAGAAACAAATTCGAAAATCACATTCACTATTTTAGCAGTAATTAACGTCATACACGCTGTTTTGTCTTATTCTCTCTTGAAGACAGAGGTAAGTAAGGAGGAGTATGCGTACCTTGAGAGACATGACTGACGTTTGATAGCGAGGAATTGTCTCAGCCATTTATATAGCGGTCCCCATCCTCTGCTGGGACGAGTTCAAGGTCACTCGCTTACCCCAGCTGGAGAAAGCCATTCAGTCTAAGCCTACGTCAGGTTTGCTGTCAATAAATAAACTATTTCTGATCCACTCGCTGAACATGAACTAGGGAGTGGAACTGATATGCACATAGATATATATATATTCTCTCTCTCTGTTTAGCGAATTATTTGTTTATATGATTGTCTGTAGCCACCTGTCTCTATATGTGTAAGTCTATTCACTGCAGACGCAGACAAGTGTGTGGTTATTAAACGAATTTACATTTGTATAAACATGTACGGAGAGATGTAATACTGTATAACATGTATATTACACACACAGTGATACACCAATAAACTTAATATTCTATGTAATTCATATCTTCATGTAATGATATAAAAATTGGCAATCAAAAGGGGGAAAATACTCTAGGCGTGTCAAAAAAAGACTCACCCCCCCTCAAAAAAAAAAAAAAAAAAAAAAAATCATGTAGCTATAACCACGTGCATACATTTATGACTATGAGGAAGATATTGAGAGAGTAGCATCTTTCGACTTAACCAAAAAAGCTTTGCAAAATCAAATCTTGTATCATCAATATAAAAAGTGAACAGCAGATGTCAAAAACGCTGCCTGGCATTATACCAGTAATAATTATTGTATTTCTTAACCTAGTAGTAAAAGATTCTGAAGAATATATGGAATAGCGACCCACAAACACACATATACGAACATCATAAGGCATTCTGCATAATTCACGACATACATACATACATGCACACACACGCACATGTGTATATATATGTGTGTGTATGCGTGACGGTATATATATATATGAGTGTGTGTGTGTTTGTGTATATACATTTATATACAGTATGTATATATATATATATATATATATATATATATATATATATACATATACATACATACTGTATATGTATTATATATATGAATATATATATATATATGTGTGTGTGTGAGTGTGTGGGTGTATGTATGTGTGCATGTGTGAGTGTTTGGAAGAATAGAATAAAATGACTTTGATAAAAATGTTAGGCTCAAAGCCTATAGGATGTTTCTACATCAGTCATGAACCCTACATGTGTCTTGATTCACTATCATGATACAATCTTCAAATTTTATTGCATATTTTTCTGCAATATCTTCATGCTATATATATATGTGTGTGTGTATGTGTATGAATATATATAATTATATGTCTATCTGTCTATATATACATATTTAACTATGCATACATATATTTAAGTATATTTATGAGCTCCCTGAGATATTGAAAATTGTTTCATGGATATCTGCATGATAGGCATCTTTTTTTTTAATGATTTATATGATGAGACCATTATGTCGTCAAGTAATTCTTTTTACAAATGTTAGCTAGCCGTATATATATGTATAAATTCACCGAAGAAATCTATAACAAAATAAATATGAAGTGTTTATACAGGATGTAGTAAGATTAACTAGAACCCTATTATTTGAATAGATTTACTCCATTTCTATTACCAACTTCATTTCTATTTTTATTTCGCAGGTGAAAGACACCGGAAAGGGGGGTGAGACTGGGGTAACCTGTGAAATATTATAATATATCTATGTCTGTGAGAGTAAGAACGGCAAGCCTCCAGGCTAGTACAGTGGTAACGTGTCGGCCTCTCATCCGAGGGGTCGGCGGTTCGCACCCCGCCCAGGCGCGAGAAGTTGCAATTGTCGCCTGGAGGTTACTGCTGTGGCTGGGCACCACGGTGGGTAAGGACTAAGCTCTGCCGAGTCAGCACCTGCTGACACACTGTTAGCGAGTCGACATTAGTCGGCACAGGCCGGGCTCCCCCATAGCCCGGGCGAGGCTCAGCTTCGCATATCGGACTTATCCTTAGTAAGAACGTCATTTCACAATGGCTTACGTACGACTAGTCACCTCTGGGAGTCACCCTAGCCCTTGTCATAGTCTATTGGTAAGTGCCGCGAGCCTAGACAATTTCATAGGCGTTTTGTGGCCGTATGGAATAGATATTTGGACATATATTGCACTAAAGTCAACACTGCTCACTGGTTGGTCTATTTTATCAGTGGTTTGCTTAAACAGCCTGATTTTAGGGATAAATATGGCAGGCAATAACTATTGAGTCATGGTGTATTGCCGTTGTATAGGTTGGAAAAAAATAAAGAAAGAATAATAATCCTAATATCAATTATATACAGTAATGTGGACGTTTAAAGTATTCTAGTGTAACCATTATTTTGATATTCTGAATCAGTATCAAATTAAACATTCTTCGAATATGCTTTAATCTTTTTTGTAATACCTAAAAATCATACGACGCACATGATAGGAGTAAGAATTGGCAATGTTCTAGTCAAAATATTTTATTATAAATCTCCATGTATGAACTGGGATCACATAGCTTCGGCCTCAGTGTTCCAGTTTCGAAAATGAAATGAGGAAGGTCAGAGATGAATGATATGTACGCGAAGCGTGAATGTACAGCCTTAGTACACGGGGTACTTGGGGGCAGCGTGGTAGGGAGCGGGCTTGTAGGTGGGCTTGTACTCGGGGTACTGAGCCTCGCCCTCGTAGGTGACCTCAGCTACAAGACCGTCGCCGTTGTCCACGTACTTGACGATCTGCTTGCGGCTGTCGGGGAGGTCGACGGTGTAGCTACCCTCGGTCTTGTAGCCGTCGCGGGACTCCGAGGCGGCGAAGTTGACGCCGGAGTAGCCGTCGGCGACGCCGTAGTTGTAGTTGTACTTCGGTGGGACCTAATTAGAGAAAGCATTATGTTATATACAGAAAATATGTTCATTTATCCGAGTTTGAGAAAGAAATATTTCATTAAATATAACCATCTAAAAACAGGATATGTATATATGCCATTAAGTACTTACAGTGGGGTACTCAGGCTGTTTGTAAGGTGAGGGGTGATACGCAGGTTCTGGAGCATGGTACGTGGGTGCTGCGTAAACAGGTGGCTGATGGTACACAGGAGCCTTATCGGCCAGAGCCACCGCGGCCACACACGCTACGAGGATCACCTGAAAACACGACACAAAAACAATTCCACTTAATTACAAAAGCCGAATTCGAGAATCATATCCATTATTCCCACCCATAGTATAAATACACGTTGCTTTCATGGGTTTCCGTCCTGGCAGAGGGAGTACGAGAGGAGCGTGCGTACCTTGAGAGACATGGCTGTTGTCTGATGGCGAGGAAGTGTCTCAGCCGTTTATATAGGGGTCCACATCCCTGATGAGAGGGCGGAGCTCAGGATCACGGACCTACCCTAATGGGAGAAATGGGGCTGAGCCATGCCTGTGCCAAGACTGCTAATAGGTTGAATACCCATTTACTTGGTTTATAGTCTGCGAATAAATAGAAGGTAAGAAATTGTAACGTACTCTTAAAGTTGAGTACTTCCTGTTGTCCGGTCGTATTTTTCTCTGTATGTCTTTTAATATATGTCCATGTATATTTCTTTGCATATACACGGACACAAACACAGGAATGTGTATAAGTAAATGAAATCAAAACTTGCAACAATATGAACACAAAAAGAACGTGTCCCTTCTAACTCTTAAAAGATTCCTCATCAGACGAAGTAAAGACCAAAATGTTCGAGGATTTACTACTTTTTATTCTGTATTTTTATCTAGATGTACATATAAATGCATATCTAAACACAAATATACATGTATACACGCACACACACACATATATATGTGTATATATTCATATATATTCATATTTGTGTGTATGCATATATATATGTATATGTGTGCATATATATATATATATATGTGTGTGTGTGCATATATATATATATGTGTGTGTGTGTGCGCGCGCATATATATATGTGTGTGTGTGTGTGTGTGTGCGCGCGCATATATATATGTGTGTGTGTGTGTGTGTATGCATGTATGTGTATATGCATATACATAGACATATATAGAGATGTTGTCTTTTATATGGAGACACATCCAGACACCCACCCACACACACATATATATATATATATATATGTATATATATGTATATGAACCATATTCATGTTGATAAATGTATTAAGGGTATGAATAAGAATGAATATCTTCATAATACAAGAGACGTATTTAATCGATTTCGATATTTTCGTCAGAAATACGATCGAAACCTGTTAAATACATTTTTTGTATTGCGAAGACATTCATTTTTATTCATACCTTTTATACATACATATATATAGATAGAGAGATATGTGTATATATGTACATATGTCAACATACAAATATACATATATATATAAGAATATATATATGTATGTTATGTATATGTATGCATGTGTATGAGTGCGTGCGTGTATTTGTGTAAATATATATACATATATATGTATATATATATATTACACACACACATACCCGTGCGTGTGTCAATAATTCTAGAATAATGAAAATGATTTATACGTCTTCTATGTATACAGTCTCTGAGGTTGAATGGATATTAGTTACTGAAAAAGGTCTGGTCCTGTTCATTCCTTTCTTTGTAAGGATAAGTCCGATATGCGAAGCTGAGCCTCGCCCGGGCTATGAGGGGAGCCCGGCCTGTGTCGACTAATGTCGACTCGCTAACAGTGTGTCAGCTGATGCTGACTCGGCTTTTGTCCATACCCGCCGTGGTGCCCAGCCACAGCAGTAACCCCCAGGCGACAATTGCAACTTCTCGCGCTTGGGCGGGGCGCGAACCGCCGACCCCTCGGATGAGAGGCTGACATGTTACCACTGTACTAGCCTGGAAGCCCTTTCTTCGCATCGCACAAAAGCGTATATGAACGAAGCCTGAATCTACCCATATCGGATTCAGAGTCAGTGTCCTCAGAGTCAGAGCTGTAGACTGAAACGAGGTTTGGTCTGAATGCATAGGATGAGATACATCGCCATAGTTTGATTTCGTTCATTCCTGGATACGCGTTATAAAGAAGAGGACTGTGTCAACTAAGTGTTTATTAATAAAAATTATCAATGCATTCAAATTTTGTTCAATATAAATCCAAAAATGAATGAATTCAAACTAATCGCTTCCCGCACGAATGACTACCCTGATTTTTCACGAATTACATTGGTTGCAACATATTTCCGCATGGCCAGCTTTTGCCATAGGCCTTATAGGCGGTTATCTAGGGCCCCACCGTCTGTAGGGAAAGGGCAGGGGGGGGGGTGCAGAATCCTAATTTTGCACAAGGCAGTAAAAGGGCTAGAACTTAGTGCCGTTAACATTGTAGGGAAAATGTCTTGAGCAGTGAGGCTTTTATTTTGAAATTCGGAATCGGTATCAAATTAAACATTCATTGAATATACTTTATGATTTTTGTAATATCTAAAAATCATGCGACGCACATGATAATAAAGCTATATCTATCGTAAATCAGGTGCCTATATTTTTTCATCTGAGTTTAAAAATAGAAGGTAGGTAGAAAACTGGATCAGTTAGATATGAATAACAGGCAAAACATTAAAAAAAAACTGAAATGTGATAATGAATAATGCCAAAGGATATTATGTATCCACACAGATACGGACACAAATATATATTCATATATATATATATATACATACATATATATATTCAGCAGCTTAGTTTGGATTAGGAGTAAGAATTGGCTATATTTCAATAAAAAATATTTTATTATGAATCTCCAAGTGTACACTAGGATCACATAGCCTCGGCCACAGTGTTCCAGTTTCGAAAATGAAATGAGGAAGGTCAGAGATGAAATGATATGTACGTGAAGCGTAATTGTAGAGCCTTAGTACACGGGGTACTTGGGGGCAGCGTGGTAGGGAGCGGGCTTGTAGGGAGCGGGCTTGTAGGTGGGCTTGTACTCGGGGTACTGAGCCTCGCCCTCGTAGGTGACCTCAGCTACGAGACCGTCGCCGTTGTCCACGTATTTGACGATCTGCTTGCGGCTGTCGGGGAGGTCGACGGTGTAGCTACCCTCGGTCTTGTAGCCGTCGCGGGACTCCGAGGCGGCGAAGTTGACGCCGGAGTATCCGTCGGCGACGCCGTAGTTGTAGTTGTACTTGGGTGGTGCCTTTTAGAAGAAAGTATAACAGTAAGTCAAAGTGATAGACAGTTAGATAGATTGTTAGATCTTGAAGATACTTGTAACCACAGTAGGTATTTAGCTGCACAGAATTAAGCACTTACAGTTGGGTATTCCGGCTGCTTGTAAGGGGCGGGAGCGTGGTACGTGGGTGCGACGTAAACAGGTGGTTGGTGGTACACGGGAGCCTTATCGGCCAGAGCCACCGCGGCCACACACGCTACGAGGATCACCTGAAACATAAACAAATATTCCAATTAAGGGAAGGCAAACTCGAAAGTTACAACCCACTATAACACCTATAATCTACATATGTATATATATTAATTTGTTCTTATTCTTCTTTCTCTTTCTTGTAGATAGAGAAGCATGTAAAGAGGAGCATGCGTACCTTGAGAGACATGGCTGACGTTTGATGGCGAGGAAGTGTCTCAGCCGCTTATATAGTGGTCCAGGTCCTCTGCTCATGCGAGTTCAAGGTCACCCGCTTACCCTGTTTGAAGTAAGGGGGGGGAGGGAAAAGGTCTTCAAAACATACAAATGTTAGATTTCTTATTTATCTACTGATTGCATATTCTGATGATATTCCATGAATATATAATGCAACGTATGGGTCGATCATGTATTATGAAAAGTATATCGTTTTTTTATCAATGTGCTGTTTATCTTTTTTTTCTTTTCGTTTTCTATCCATAATAATTATGTATAAGTTTGTGTCTGTAAACAAAATACATCCTTAAACAAGTATCCCCCTATTTGCGTCTCTGTGTGTGGATTACCAATATAAATATATACATACACACACACATGTATACATACACAAATATGTAAATATATGTATATACTTATATATATACTCATATTTATATGGAAGTCTGTATATATATGCATGTCGGTACTATTATATTCATATTCATATGTATGTATACACAGCACATATATATGTATATTATATATATATATATATATATATATATATATATGTAAGTTAGTGTGTGTATGTATATATATATAAATACATATATATGTGTATGTGCACACACACATACACACACACATATATATATGTACACCTACACCTACATACACGCATATATATACTGTAAGTGTGTACGTGTGTATTTGACTGCTGCGATGGTCCAGTGATTCTACACAGAGAGACACACAAACACACACACATATATATAGATAGATAGATAAATATGTACATATATGTGTTTATATATGTGTGTATACTGACATAAACAGACACATAAACACACATATGAATACATATATATATTCACATATATACATATATGAATATGTGTAAATGTGTATATATAGATAGATAAATATAAATTGATATACAGATAGATAGAAAGATATGTATGAGTGCATATATATACATACTTGCATACACACACGCACACACACACACATATATATACACATATATATGTATATATACACATATATGAATATATACGCATATATGTATATATATTTATATATATGCACACACACACAAACATACACACACACATATATACACACATATGTATATACATTTATACAAATGCACACGCACACACACACACACTCACATCCATACACACACACACACACACATATATATACACACTGTATTTATAAATACATATGCTTGTGTATATATATATATACTTATATATGCATACATATATACATCTATCTCTTTATATAAATATGTATATATTTATATATATATTTATATATATATATATTATATGCAGTATGTATACATATATGTATATATATGTATATATATATTGCACATATATATGTATACAAATGTATATATATACACATATATATGCGTGTGTGTTTGGGAGTGTGTGTATTCATGTGTGTGTTTACGTGTGTATGTATGTGAGTGTATACATATATATGCATATATAATACATATATAATGTATATATTATATCATGTAATATTTGTATGTATATGTGTATGTATATATTATATATATATACATACATATATATGTATATATATACATTGTGTGTATTTGTGTGCGTCTATATATGATATATATAGAGAGAGACACAGATAGATACATGCACACACACACATACATATATATGTATATGTACATATATACATATGGATATACACACATAAGATATATCCATGTATTGTGTTTAGACACATGCATATAGATATGACACATATCATATGTGCGAGGTCACACACACACACTTACACACGCACACTTACACGCATACAGTCTATTTCGGTTCTCTGATAAGGCTATGGATTTTAACGCTAACCATTTAATGAAAAATGAATATGGAAATGCTTTGACAAAAATACCTTTGAATTCGTATGTCCATTTCAAAGAATATTCATTGAAATCCTATTCATAATTTCTCTGTACTTTCATTTAAAGGTTCTTTTGTCTATGCAAATTAACTTCTACCCGCATGTGTAATATGGAATTAATACATTTTACCATAGAAAGTGTATACTTTAAGTTGATTATCACTAGTATACACAAAATGGTTATTTGAATGAGGCATATTATTGACACAAGGAATACATCTTTGACATGACATAGAAAATTAACAGTATATATCTGAGAATATATATATATTTTCTTTCTCGTTCGGTGTTAAAATTCTGATTTTGGCGTTTATAAGGGGTATGAAAATTACTTCTTTTATCTCTGTTTTATTTTAAAAATCGGAAATTAAATAGTATCACATATTCTTTCCCGACCATATAATGTCAACCACAACTCATTCGTTATGATTTGGCACATTTAATGGACGGGAATGGGATGGAGAGAATGTTGTCTTATGCGAGAATGTACATCCTTAGTACACGGGGTACTTGGGGGGAGCGTGGTAGGGAGCAGGCTTGTAGGTGGGCTTGTAGGTGGGCTTGTACTCGGGGTACTGAGCCTCGCCCTCGTAGGTGACCTCAGCTACGAGACCGTCGCCGTTGTCCACGTACTTGACGGTCTGCTTGCGGCCGTCGGGGAGGTCGACGGTGTAGCTGCCCTCGGTCTTGTAGCCTTCGCGGGACTCTGAGGCGGCGAAGTTGGCGCCGGAGTAACCGTCGGCGACGCCGTAGTTGTAGTTGTACTTGGGTGGGACCTAATTAGAGAAAGCATTATGTCATATACAGAAAATGTGTTCATTTATCCGTAAACGAGTTTGAGAAAGGAATTTTTCATTAAATATAACCATCTAAAACAGTATATGCATATTTGCCATTAAGTTGCACAAAGTGAAGTACTTACAGTGGGGTACTCAGGCTGTTTGTAAGGTGAGGGGTGATACGCAGGTTCTGGCGCGTGGTACGTGGGTGCGGCGTAAACAGGTGGCTGATGGTACGCGGGAGCCTTATCGGCCAGAGCCACCGCGGCCACACACGCTACGAGGATCACCTGAAAACACGACACAAAACAGTTCCATTTAATTACAAAGACCGAATATACATATCCACTATTCCCATCCATAGTATAAATACACGTTGCTTTCATGGGCTTCCGTCCTGGCAGAGGGAGTACGAGAGGAGCGTGCGTACCTTGAGAGACATGGCTGTTGTCTGATGGCGAGGAAGTGTCTCAGCCGTTTATATAGGGGTCCACATCCCTGATGAGAGGGCGGAGCTCAGGGTCACGGACCTACCCTAATGGGAGAAATGGGGCTGAGCCATGCCTGTGCCAAGACTGCTAATAGGCTGAATACCCATTTACTTGGTTTATAGTCTGCGAATAAATAGAAGGTAAGAAAGTGTAACGTATACTGAAAGTTGAGTACTTCCTGTTGCCAGATAGTACTTTTCTCTGCATGTCTTTTGATTTATTTCCATGCATATTTATGCACGGACACAAACACAGAAACGTGTATAAGTAAATAAAATTAAAAACACAAAAAGAACGTGTCCCTTCTAACTCCTAAGAGGTTCCTCATCAGACGAAGTAAAGACTAAAATGTTCGATTATTTACTATTTTTTCTGTATTTTTATGGTGATGTACATATAAATGCATATCTATACACATCAATATACATATATACACGCACACACACATATATATACGTGTATATATTCATATATATTTATATTTCTGTGTGTGTGCATATATGTATGTTTGTGCATATATATGTGTGTGTGTGTGTGTGCATATATTTATATATGTGTGTGTGTGTGTTTATGCACGTATGTGTACGTGTGTATATATATACATATATACACATATAGAGATATTGTATTCTATATGGAGACGCATCCAGACACACGCACACAAGTATATATATATATATGTATATATATATATGAACCATATATGTATGAACCATATATATATGAACCATATATAATATGAACCATATATATATATGAACCATATTCATGTTGATAAATGTATTAAGGGTATGAATAAGAATGAATATCTTCACAATACAAGAGACGTATGTAATCGGTTTCGATATTTTCGTCAGAAATACGATCGAAACCTGTTAAATACATTTTTTGTATTGTGAAGACATTCATTTTCATTCATACCTTTTATACATACATATATATATAGATAGAGAGATATGTGTATATATGTACATATATGTAAACATACAAATATACATATATATAAGTATATATATGTATGTTATGTATGCATGTGTATGAGTGCGTGCGTGTATTTGTGTAAATATATATACATATATATGTATATATAATATATATATATATATATATATATACATATATATATATATACATATATATTGCACACACACATATCCGTGCGTGTGTCAATGATTCTAAAATAATGAAAATGATTTATACGTCTTCTATTTATACAGTCTCTGAGGTTGAATGGATACTAGTTACTGAAAAAGGGTCTGGTCCTGTTCATTCCTTTCTTTGAGCCCGGCCTGTGTCGACTAATGTCGACTCGCTAACAGTGTGTCAGCTGGTGCTGACTTGGCTTTTGTCCATACCCACCGTGGTGCCCAGCCACAGCAGTAACCTCCAGGCGACAATTGCAACTTCTCACGCCTGGGCGGGCGCGAACCGCCGACCCCTCGGATGAGAGGCCGACATGTTACCACTGTACTAGCCTGGAAGCCCTTTCTTCGTATCGCACAAAAGCGTATATGAACGAAGCCTGAATCTAACCATATCGGATTCAGAGTCAGAGCTGTAGACTGAAACGTGGTTTGGTCTGAATGCATAGGATGAGATACATCGCCATAGTTTGATTTCGTTCATTCGGGGATACATGTTAAAAAGAAGAGGAATGTGTCAATTAAGTGTTTATTAATAACAATTCTCAATGCATTCAAATTTTGTTCAATATAAATCCAAAAATAAATGAATTCAAACTAATCGCTTCCCGCACGATTGACTACCCTGATTTTTCACGAATTACATTGATTGTAACATATTACCGCATGACCAGCTTTTGCCATAGGCCTTATAGGCGGTTATCTAGGGCCCCACCGTCTATAGGTGAGGGGGGGGGGGGCAGAATCCTAATTTTGCAGAGGGTACCCAAAGGGCTAGAACTTAGTGCCGTTGACATTATAGGGAAAATGTCTTGGGCAGTGAGGCTTTTACTTTGAAATTGTGAATCGGTATCAAATTAAACATTCATTGAATATACTTTATAATTTTTGTAACATCTAAAAATCATGCGACGCACATGATAATAAAGCTATATCTATCGTAAATCAGGTGCCTATCTTTTTTATCTATTTGAGTTTAAAATTAGAAGGTAGGTAGAAAACTGGATCAGATATAATTAGGGTAAATGAATAACAGGCAAAACATTAAAAAAAGACTGAAATGTGATAATGAATAATGCCAAAGGATATTATGTGTACACACAGATACGCACACACAAATATATATTCATATATATATACATATTTATATTCAGCAGCTTAGTTTGGATTAGGAGTAAGAATTGGCTATTTTTCAATAAAATATATTTTATTATGAATCTCCAAGTGTACACTAGGATCACATAGCTTCAGCCACAGTGTTCCAGTTTCGAAAATGAAATGAGGAAGGTCAGAGATGAAATGATATGTACGTAAAGCGTTATTGTAGAGCCTTAGTACACGGGGTACTTGGGGGCAGCGTGGTAGGGAGCGGGCTTGTAGGGAGCGGGCTTGTAGGTGGGCTTGTACTCGGGGTACTGAGCCTCGCCCTCGTAGGTGACCTCAGCTACGAGACCGTCGCCGTTGTCCACGTACTTGACGATCTGCTTGCGACTGTCGGGGAGGTCGACGGTGTAGCTGCCCTCGGTCTTGTAGCCGTCGCGGGACTCCGAGGCGGCGAAGTTGACGCCGGAGTAGCCGTCGGCGACGCCGTAGTTGTAGTTGTACTTGGGTGGGACCTAATTAGAGAAAGCATTATGTCATATACAGAAAATGTGTTCATTTATCCGTAAACGAGTTTGAGAAAGGAATATTTCATTAAATATAACCATCTAAAAACAGTAAATGCATATTTGCCATTAAGTTGCACAAAGTGAAGTACTTACAGTTGGGTACTCAGGCTGTTTGTAAGGTGAGGGGTGATACGCAGGTTCTGGCGCGTGGTACGTGGGTGCGGTGTAAACAGGTGGCTGATGGTACGCGGGAGCCTTATCGGCCAGTGCCACCGCGGCCACACACGCTACGAGGATCACCTGAAAACACGACGCAAAAACAATTCCATCTAATTACAAAGACCGAATATACATATCCACTATTCCCATCCATAGTATAAATACACGTTGCTTTCATGGGCTTCCGTCCTGGCAGAGGGAGTACGAGAGGAGCGTGCGTACCTTGAGAGACATGGCTGTTGTCTGATGGCGAGGAAGTGTCTCAGCCGTTTATATAGGGGTCCACATCCCTGATGAGAGGGCGGAGCTCAGGGTCACGGACCTACCCTAATGGGAGAAATGGGGCTGAGCCATGCCTGTGCCAAGACTGCTAATAGGCTGAATACCCATTTACTTGGTTTATAGTCTGCGAATAAATAGAAGGTAAGAAAGTGTAAAGTACACTGAAAGTTGAGTACTTCCTGTTGCCAGATAGTACTTTTCTCTGCATGTCTTTTGATTTATTTCCATGCATATTTCTTTGCATATGCACGGACACAAACAGAGAAACGTGTATATGTAAATAAAATTAAAAACACAAAAAGAACGTGTCCCTTGTAACTACTAAGAGGTTCCTCATCAGACGAAGTAAAGACTAAAATGTTCGATTATTTACTATTTTTTTCTGTATTTTTATGTTGATGTACATATAAATGCATATCTATACACATCAATATACATATATACACGCATACACACATATATATACGTGTATATATTCATATATATTTATATTTCTGTGTGTGTGCATATATGTATGTATGTGTTTGTGCATATATATGTGTGTGTGTGTGTGTGCATATATTTATATATATGTGTGTGTGTGTTTATGCACGTATGTGTGCGTGTGTATATATATATACATATACATACACATATATAGAGATATTGTATTCTATATGGAGACGCATCCAGACACACACACACAAATATATATATATATATATATATATATATATATATATATATATATATATATATGAACCATATATATATATATATGAACCATATATATATGAACCATATATATATGAACCATATATAATATGAACCATATATATATATATGAACCATATTCATGTTGATAAATGTATTAAGGGTATGAATAAGAATGAATATCTTCACAATACAAGAGACGTATTTAATCGGTTTCGATAATATTTTCGTCAGAAATACGATCGAAACCTGTCAAATACATCTTTTGTATTGTGAAGACATTCATTTTCATTCATACCTTTTATACATTTATATATAGATAGGCAGATATGTGTATATATGTATATATATGTAAACATACAAATATACATATATATATAAGTATATATATGTATGTTATGTATGCATGTGTATGAGTGCGTGCGTGTATTTGTGTAAATATATATACATATATATGTATATATATATATATATATATATATATATATATATACATATATATTGCACACACACATATCCGTGCGTGTGTCAATAATTCTAAAATAATGAAAATGATTTATACGTCTTCTATTTATACAGTCTCTGAGGTTGAATGGATACTAGTTACTGAAAAAGGGTCTGGTCCTGTTCATTCCTTTCTTTGAGCCCGGCCTGTGTCGACTAATGTCGACTCGCTAACAGTGTGTCAGCTGGTGCTGACTCGGCTTTTGTCCATACCCACCGTGGTGCCCAGCCACAGCAGTAACCTCCAGGCGACAATTGCAACTTCTCACGCCTGGGCGGGCGCGAACCGCCGACCCCTTGGATGAGAGGCCGACATGTTACCACTTTACTAGCCTGGAAGCCCTTTCTTCGTATCGCACAAAAGCGTATATGAACGAAGCCTGAATCTAACCATATCGGATTCAGAGTCAGTGTCCTCAGAGTCATAGTTCTAGATTGAAACGAAGTTTGGTCTGAATGCATAGGATGAGGTACATCGCCATCGTCTGATTCCGTTCATTCCTGGATACATGTTAAAAAGAAGAGGAATGTTTCAATTAAGTATTTATTAATAACAATTCTCAATGCATTCAAATTTTGTTCAATATAAATCCAAAAATGAATGAACTTAAGCTAATCGCTTCTCGCACGAATGACTACCCTGATTTTTCACGAATTACATTGGTTGCAACATATTTCCGCATGGCCAGCTTTTGCCATAGGCCTTATAGGCGGATATCTAGGGCCCCACCGTCTGTAGGAAAAGGGCAGGTGGGGGGGGGGTGCAGAATCCTAAATTTGCACAAGGCAGTAAAAGGGCTAGAACTTAGTGCCGTTAACATTGTAGGGAAAATATCTTGGGCAGTGAGGCTTTTATTTTGAAATTGTGAATCGGTATCAAATTTAACATTCATTGAATATACTTTATAATTTGTGTAACACCTAAAATCATGCGAACATGATAATAAATATCTATCGTAAATCAGGTGCCTATCTTTTTTATCTATTTGAGTTTAAAAATAGAATGTAGGTAGAAAACTGGATCAGATATAATTAGGGTAAATAACTATCAGGCAAAACAAACAAAAAAAAAACTGAAATGTGATAATGAATATTCCCAAAGGATATTATGTGTGCACACAGATACGCACACACAAATGTACATACATATATATATGTATTCAGCAGCTTGGTTTGGATTAGGAGTAAGAATTGGCTATGTTTCAATAAAAAAGATAATTTATTATGAATCTCCAAGTGTACACTAGGATCACATAGCTTCAGCCACAGTGTTCCAGTTTCGAAAATGAAATGAGGAAGGTCAGAGATGAAATGATATGTACGTAAAGCGTTATTGTAGAGCCTTAGTACACGGGGTACTTGGGGGCAGCGTGGTAGGGAGCGGGCTTGTAGGGAGCGGGCTTGTAGGTGGGCTTGTACTCGGGGTACTGAGCCTCGCCCTCGTAGGTGACCTCAGCTACGAGACCATCGCCGTTGTCCACGTATTTGACGATCTGCTTCCGGCTGTCGGGGAGGTCGACGGTGTAGCTACCCTCGGTCTTGTAGCCGTCGCGGGACTCCGAGGCGGCGAAGTTGACGCCGGAGTATCCGTCGGCGACGCCGTAGTTGTAGTTGTACTTGGGTGGTGCCTTTTAGAAGAAAGTATAACAGTAAGTCAAAGTGATAGATTGTTAGATCTTGAAGATACTTGTAGCCACAGTAGGTATTCAGCTGCACAGAACTAAGCACTTACAGTTGGGTATTCTGGCTGCTTGTAAGGGTCGGGAGCGTGGTACGTGGGTGCGGCGTAAACAGGTGGTTGGTGGTACACGGGAGCCTTATCGGCCAGAGCCACCGCGGCCACACACGCTACGAGGATCACCTGAAACATAACACAAATATTCCACTTAAGGGAAAGCAAACTCGAAAGTTACAACCCTCTATAACACCTATAATCTACATATGTATATATATTAATTTTGTTCTTATTCTTCTTTCTCTTTGTAGATAGAGAAGCTTGCAAGGAGGAGCGTGCGTACCTTGAGAGACATGGCTGACGTTTGATGGCGTGGAAGTGTATTAGCCGCTTATATAGTGGTCCACATCCTCTGCTGACGCGAGTTCAAGGTCACTCGCTTACCCTGTTTGAAGGTGGGGGGGGGGAGTGAAAGGGTCTTCAAAATATACAAATGTTAGATATACATGCATACAAACACACACTTATGTATATATGTATATATACATATATGTAGTGTATATATTTATATGTATATATGTGTACATAAATACTTTTATATACATATTCATTTGTATGTATGCATATATATACATACATATATATGTGTGTAAGTTAGTGCGTGTACATATATATATACATACATATGTATATATATATTTATTTATCTATTTTGCAGTGTGTGTGTGTGTGTGCATGTACACACACATACACAGATACACACACACACATATATATATTTAACTATTAATATATACCTAAATAGACATACATATATAATTGTGTATGAGTGTATTTCACCGCTGCGATGGTCCAGTGGTTCTACACAGACACACATACACACACACATATATAGATATAGATATATATATGTGTGTGTGTGTATGTGTGTGTGTATGTGTGTGTGTGTGTGTGTATGTGTACACAGACATAAGCAAACACACATATATAAATGCATATATATCCATATATATACATATATATGTGTAAATGTATATAAATAGATAGATACACATACACAGACACACAAACACGCACATACACACATATATATGTATATATATACATACACACAAACACACACACACATATGTATGTATATATATATGCATTTATATATATACACACATACACACGCACACAAGCACACACGCACATACATATTTACATATTTTCACACACACATACAGCCACTCATTCACACATGCACAGACACACACACACACACAAAAACATACTCACACACGCACACGCACACTGTGTGTATGTACATAGATATATATACATATACATACATATACATATATATTGTATATATAAGTATACATATCTGTGTGTGTACATGAATATATATATTTATATATATGTCGTTTTCTCGGTCTCGAGCTTGTAGTCAGAGCGCAGGCATTTTTACGACCGCTGCGACAGGGAATTGAACTCGGGACCACGAGGGTCGGAGACCAGTGCACTAACCAATGGACCATCGCGAAAGTCATATATATATATATATTATATAAGTAAACATGTTTGTATATACATATGTATGTGTGTGTTCGTATGTGTGTATATTTACATAAATACATATATGCATTTATATATATATATATGTGTGTGTGTGTGTGTGTGTATATATATATACATATATATATATATATATATATATATATATATATATATATATATATATATGCATATATATATTATATATATATATATATATATATATATATATATATATGTGTGTGTGTGTGTGTGTGTGTGGGTTTGTGTGTGTCTACATATACATATATAAATATATATATATATATATATATATATATATATATATATATATATATTATATATATATATATATATAATATGTATATATGTGTGTGTATATGTATATATGTATGTGTTTATATATACGATATATAGAGATAGAGAGACAGATGAATAGATAGACACACACATGTATATACAAACATACATATATATATACACATATATACATACATATCCATATACACGCATACATATATGACATATATAACATGTGCGAGGTCACACACGCACACGGACACACTATGTGTGTCTTTATTTAAATATATATATACATTTATATAAATACTATATATGTGTGTGTGTATATATTATATATATATATGTATATATATATATGTATGTGTGTGTGTATGTGTGTTTGCGTGTGTGTACACACATATATATTTATGTGTTTATCTTTATGATTTATAGAGATAGAGAGACAGGTAGATAGATAGACACACATACACACGTATATGCATATATATATACATATACATATGCATATACACACATAAGGTACATCCATGTATTGTGTTCAGACACATGCATACATATATAACCTTTATCAAATGTACGATGTCACACACAAATAGTTTTCTGTTAAGGACATGAATTTGAACGCTAACCATATACTGAAAAATAAGTATGGATATGCATTGACAAAAACACCTTTGAGATTGTATGTTCATTTCAAAGAATATTCCTTGCAATGCTATTTATTATCTCTCAGTACTTTCGTTGAAAGGTTCATTTGTTCATGCAAATTCACTAATGACGTGTTTAATATGAAATTAATACTTTTTACCCATTTTAGGTTGATTATCAGTAGTATACACAAAAAGGTTATTTGAATGAAGTATATTGACACTAGGAATATATCTCTGATATGACATTGACAATTTACTTAGTATATGTCAACGGTCTTATTTCATTCCTTCATTTATTCATTTATTATTATTCATACGTCTATTTATCTATTTATCCTTTTTTGTCTCGCTTGGTGTTGAAATTATGATTCTAGCTTTTAAAAGGGATATGGAAAGTATCTTTTTATATATCTGTTTTATTAAAAACCGGAAATCAATTAAATAGTATCACATATTCTTATCCCGGCCATGTAATGTCAACCACAACTCTTTCGTTATGCTTTGGCACGTTTAATGGATGGAATGAGATGGAGAGAAAGTTGTCTTATACGAGAAAGTACACCCTTAGTGCTTAGTACTTAGGGGCAGCATGGTAGGGAGCGGGCTTGTAGGTGGGCTTGTAGGTAGGCTTGTAAGTAGGCTTGTACTCGGGGTACTGAGCCTCGCCCTCGTAGGTGACCTCAGCTACATAACCGTCGCCGTTGTCCACGTACTTGACGATCTGCTTGCGGCCGTCGGGGAGGTCGACTGTGTAGCCGCCCTCGGTCTTGTAGCCTTCGCGGGACTCCGAGGCGGCGAAGTTGGCGCCGGAGTATCCGTCGGCGACACCGTAGTTGTAGTTGTACTTCGGTGGGACCTGATTATAGAAGGCATAACGTTATATACAGGACATGTGTTCATTTATCCGTAAACGAGTTTGAGGAAGGAATATTTCATTAGATATATATCAGATATAACCATCTAAAAACAGAATTTGCATATATAATATTAAGTTGCACTTACAGTAGGATACTCAGGCTGTTTGTAAGGTGAGGGGCGGTACGCAGGTTCTGGAGCATGGTACGTGGGTGCTGCGTAAACAGGTGGCTGATGGTACACAGGAGCCTTATCGGCCAAAGCCACTGCGGCCACACACGCTACGAGGA